CCTATTGGAAATTGCTGTGACTAGAATCAGCCATGGAGGCCTTATAGATGGAGGCAGTTTTGAAGAAACATCTTCCATGTACATAGAAGCACAAATTGGGGTGAATAGAAGAGTGTATGGGAGATGTATGAAAAACCATTTAGCGTGTTGTTTATTTTCCCATTATAAAAGGAATTTTTCAAAAATCGTATCAATTTATAAAACACGAAGTGAAAAGAAGTTGCTTTCAGTAAGAGTTTACCCTCAGAGGCTTCATGACATTTTCTGGTGCAGGTAAACTCTGGATGTAGATGACTCTGAGACAGTCCAAACAGACACCCGAGTCCACTCAGTAGAATCCATTTCCCCTGCGTTTAGTGTCTTGCCAGTAGGAGGGCTGGTAACCTGTGGGCACTCAAGACCATATAATTTTGTCTTTAGTCTAGTCAAAATAATTAAAATAATTCCCAATATACATCACCAGCTATTGAGATCTGTCAAGTCCTCAGATTATACATTAACTCTTCTCTCTTTTGGATTATTTTTGGTTGTTTATTTTGCTAGTGTGTGCATGTTTGCATGTATGCATATTCGTATGTATGGGCACACATGGGTGTGCATGAGTGTGAAGGCCAGAAGTTGACACTGAGTGGCCTCCTTGATCCCTCTCCATCTTATACATTGAGGCAGAGTCTGTCATTTGAATTCAGAGTTTACAGTTTTGACTTCTAACTAGCCAGCTTGTTCAGAGGCTCCCCGTCTCACCAACTGAACTCTGGGATTGCAGGTGGGCCCCTATGCCCACTGGCATTTACCTGGATGCTGGGGATCTGAACTCTGGTCCGCAGGCAGCAAGTGCTTTGCCCCAACACCATCTCTCCAGCCTGTGTTGTTGAGTTTTGGTTTGGGGGGTGGGGGCACTGTTTGTTGGTTTGGTTGGTTGGTTTGGGGTTTTTGTTGTTCATTTGGCAAAGTGGTTTTGTGCTTTTGGTTTTGTTACCATTCTTGTTTTAAGGCAGGGTCTCATTACGTAGCCCAAGCTGGTCTCTGAGTTGTGATCACCCTGCCTCAATCTCCCAAGTGCTAGGACCTGACTTTCTGGAGAGAGGAAATTTGAATGACCCCAACCTCTTGGTTAAACAGACCTCATCTTTCTTTAAACAGACAGTAGTCCCACCCACCCCTCATTTACCTAATTTATCTTAAAATGAAGAGATTAGGGGACAAAAGAAAAGTCCTCCAGATAGAAGAAGAAATCCATTTCTGGAATTATTAAAAAAAAAAAAGAAGTCATATGCAAGAAAATGTGGCTGATAAGATATGCCATGGCATGGTACATGACATCAGCAATAACTGGAAGCCGAGTGCAGGCACTCAAAAGACGAAGAACACAGACACATGAGCATCCCAGATGGAGATGACTCATCCCCCTTGGGAAAAGCAGTTCCAGTCCAGGCTAGTCCTAGAACACTCTGTTCAGTGTTAGCGTCCTAGCCAAACTTGAGGCTATTTGGGTCAGAACCTTTAGAACTATGTAGTGTTGTCTTTCCCAATTCACAGCATCCCCATCACTGTTAGGGACCAGTTAGCCTCCGAGAGGACTTCTCTGGAATGCCAGTGACTAGTGGCTTCTGGGCATCCCTGAACCATCTGAATCATAGCACAGTGCACATTCCTGAGCCTGGAATCAAAACACTCGCCCACAGAAAGACTATCCCAGAGTAAGAATATCTCACCCAGTTGTGCCACCTCCCTACGCAACATCTGGAGGGAAAACAAGGGAGAGAAGTCAAGGTTCTTTCTTCTACTAAAGTCACAGTAAAACTGGACTTACTCAGATGAATCAGAATTTATCCAAAATATATGTGTGTATGAGTGTGTGTGTGTGTGTGTATGTGTGTGTGTGTGTGTGTGTGTGTGTGTGTGTGTGTGTGTGTGTGTGTGTGTGTGTGTGTTAGGCTGACATTTACATAAATTCCTGTGAAACCAAAGCAACAGAAGACAGTAGTGAGCCAGGGAATTAAGGTCTCTTGGAAAAAGTAAAACAAAAAATCACCCAACAAGATTTCACTCTGCGCTGTTAAGTTTGTATAAACTTGGTGGTGGGGTAAACCAAATAATTAATGGCTATGTAACCACCAGTCAATCATCTGCATGGCTCAAGCCCCAAGAGCACAGACATCTGCCTAAGAGCGTTTTAGAAACGGTCTCCAACAGTCTCCATACCACTTCCAAACACACACAGACAAATGTTTATGATGGGATGCTGTTCTTGGGCATTCTACCCGGGCCAACCATACATGCTCCATAGTTTCCTGGACATGAAGGAACAATGTTGAATTGTTCTTAAGAGTCAGGTTCCTGTTAGGTTTGTTGTTGTTGTTGTTGTTGTTGTTGTTTTGGGGTTTTGTTTTGTTTGAGACAAGGTCTGACTAGACAACCCTGTCTGGCTTGGAGCCAGCTATATAGACCAGCTGGCCTTGAACTCACAGAGATCCACCCCCTGAGTGCTGGACTTAAAGGAGTGTCCCACCTAACCCAGTTGTCATACCAGTCTTGATGTTTAAAGTTTTTAATATTAAAAAATGTTTATTTCCACAGACAATGTGATCCACTTGATCATAAGGCTGGAATGTTAAAATTTTAACTTTTTGTTAATTTTAATAGAGTGATCAAACTTCTTTCTATAATTATTAAATTTAGGGGATAATAAGTAGTGATTAAAAAAACACCTTATTGTGAGAAATACAACTAACGTTCTCTAGAGAGCAATAAGCCATTTGCACATGCCTTCCAACCCGGCAGAAGTACCGACCCACACACTAAAACACACACAACTAGTTTCTTGAAGTGTCTTAAAGGTCTCACTACAGAATCCACTTGACAATGAGAATGGACTTCACCATCTATGTCTGGTGGTGCAAGATTTAGGTTACACACACAAATAGCAAAATCTCACCGGAAGCCTTTATGGAGGCCTAAAATTTATAGTGTGCAGATGCAGCTCCTAGCTGACCAGGCTGGGAACCATGTTTCAGATCTCTGTGCACAGAATGTCATGCTGCCTTCACCGCCAGATCTCAGCCTAAAGGTCAAGGACGACCCCTCACAGTTCTGCCAATCACCTGCCATCATGCTGTGCTCCAGTGAGGCTGTTCACCTCAAGGTAAGGTTGTTGTTGTTGTTGTGGTGGCAGGTGGTGGTGGTGGTGGTGGTGGTGGTGGTGGTGGTGGTGGTGGTGGTGGTGGTTTTTTGTTGGTTTGGTTGCTGTTGTTTTGTTTTGTTCCGTTTCCACTTCAACCACTCCATCCCCTGCGTGGTTCGCTTGAAGACCTCCTTCACCCTTGAAGCCTTTTATGCAGAAGTATAACGTAGGTTTCTAAATTACAGTTTTATTCCACTTACCCCAAGTTCCTCGGAGAGACTAAATGAAAATAAAATTCCATCTTACGGGCAGCCACGGAGGTCTTCAAATGCTTCACAGTGCGGCTTGATAGGAACCATTCACGTTCCCAGTACAGCCCCAAGAAGTTACCTTTCAGTGTCATTCAGGCTGTTTCATCAGCACGCGGTGCCTCCCTCCCAGCCCAGGGCAGGAGGATGCTTCTGAGCCCTCTGTTGGGCCAGTGTGAGCATGCCACTGGTTCTGGCCAATGAATGTGAACAGAGGTGTCACTTCCTAAAGAAAACCCAGAGTCAAAGCCTCTCCTCGATGTCCATTTCCTCCCATGCCATAGTGATCAGTGTGTGTGTGACCGTTCAGTCAGCCTCAACTTTGAATAAAGAGCACAACGCTGCATGGAAGAGATACAAGGTAAGCAAAAAACAAACAAAAAAAGGTGTTATTTCAAATGACTGAACTTATGGCAACAAAACATCCCTGGCACTCTAGACCTAACTGAAATGTTATTCTTTCATAGAAAAGAAATGTTGGGGCACTAGGCATCTTGGCAAATGTTACTCCAATCCAAAACAGAAGAAAGTTGGACTCTATTACACGATAGCATGCATATGATTTGTAGATACACAGGTTACTGACAGTCGCTTACTAAAGCTGATTTCTCTCCAACCTGGCCCTAGTAAAACTGCTCAAAGCCATTAGATCATCTGCAATCTTCAAAATCTCGCAGAAAAACAAAGTTCTCTGACTTGAACACATTTGTCAAAATCATTTGCAGGGTCACATTTCTAAGACCAAGTCCATTAATCAAACAGGGCTTCATTCTGAGGTACCAAACAAATTAACTAGCTGTTATGTCATTGAAGAGGACCAGGCTGACCCAGGAAGAGATGATTCAAATAAAAAGGGGCACATCCAAGCATAAACAGAATTAGAGAACCCTAACTAAGCCGAGTAGCCTCTCACTTCTGAGAGAGGGGAGGATGAGACCAGTTTTTGCATATGCATAGTAAGAAAAATTTCAAATGCCCGGTGTCTGATTGATTTCCTTTATGTAAAAACCTTAGGGGGTGTTTGGGGGGGGGGGGCTCTGGAATGCATATTTGAGCATTGTGTTCAAACGGGGACTCATAAACTTGATAGCGCGTAGTATGCCTAAAACCCGCACAGTTTCCCCACTTTGAAAGAGTGTAACTCGGGAAGGTTTTCTTCCTCACTGAGGGAAAAGAAGTACTTGAGTTTCTCGTTTAAGTAAGGAAAAAACTGTCGTTTTCCTCTTACTTTGAACTGGTGAGTCAGGGAGGGATGGATGATGTCATGTGTTAGCCTGCAATCCCTGATGTGGTTCCCTCAGCTCCCTCAAGCTCCCAACTCGGTCGGTCCAGTCCTGTCCCGTTGCTGTGGCAGACAGGGCTCCCCGGGTTCCATCCGTTCTCCTCTGGCTTCTGCCCAGCCACAGGCTTGCAGCCTGGCTAGCAGGGGATAAAACAGGAAGTCTGACGGCTTCAGCCGGCTGCGGGACCCCAGAGTGTTTTCCCACTCTGCGTCCTGGCCTGGTTCCCCAGAAGTACAAACACACGCACAGAGCCCCATTGTTGCCGCCTTCCCGGCCCACTGATCCTAATATGGAATGCAGCAGGAAGCCCACGATTTCCTGACGCTCGGCAAGCCGGAGGAAGCGAGGGGGGAAACTCCGTTTAAAAGCCCTGCTCTCCTCCATGTTAGCTGTGTGGTGGAAAACCAGGCAGGAGTTATCCAAATCCCACCGTGTCATCAGCCAGGCTGGGGATGGGGAGGGCAGAGTGAGACTCTCACAGGCTGCTGAAATTTCGAGACTGCCAGGAAGTCCCGGCAAGTCTGTGCAAATGAGAACGCCTTAACTCCAGCCACTGGGGGGAAAGGGACAGACCTTTGTCATCCCTCCTGCCAAGAGTGTGCTACCTTTCTCTTCCAGCATGGTGAGCGGCGGGGCTTGTGTGTGTCTGGGCCGTGCCTGGGCGAGCCAGCCCAGCCACCGTCAGGCCGCCTGAGCTCCAGCCTGGGGCCGGTCCCACCGCTCCATGCGCTGCAGAAGCCCCAGCCGCAGCAGCAGCAGCAGCAGCAGCAGCAGCAGCAGCTGGAGCCGCCAACATGAGCTACAGAGAGGGGACTGACAGCAGCTGCGGCTGCGGTGGGCGCGACGAGAATAGGATCCTCAAGTGCGTGGTGGTCGGGGACGGCGCGGTGGGGAAGACCTGCCTGCTGATGAGCTACGCCAACGACGCCTTCCCGGAGGAGTACGTGCCCACTGTGTTTGACCACTATGCAGGTAGGAAAAAGCGGGGACCAACTTGATCTAGATGAGCGGTTTGGGCATGGGGGCACACGTTCAGAGGGGCCTGGCTTACCCCGAAAGTCAGAGCCAGATGTGGGCCTGGCAGGTACCAGGTTAACTCAGCCAAGAAGGGTGCCAGGATCCTGGGGAGAACCTGTGCATGGATTTACATGGCACCGGCTTCCCCGCTTGAAGCAAATGCGTACGTAATCCTGGAAAATATCCCCCGGACCTCGGGGCCAGAAATTGTTCTCAACATTTTTGCTCTAAACTTTCCTAAACTTTTTTTTAGTGTAGTGCAATTGCATAAATTTCCATTTTTAAAAAAATCACGACTGGACACGTGGGAAGAAGGCTCTACTCTCTACACATTATCTACTCCTTCAGGCTAGTCATAAAGAAAAATGCTAAGAAAACCAGCCACTAAAACGTTCTCTTTTTTCCTGGATTACTTGGGGCTTAAATTTTGTACTTTCTCTCTTCTGGAGTGGTAGGTGAGGGGAAAGGTATCCCCAGCTTTTAAATATTGAGTAGGGGAAGTTAAGTAAAAGATTGCTAGGTTTTGAAGAGTAAAAAAAAAAAAAAAAAAAAATTCAAATGCAAATAAAATCATTTCCAAGTATGCCCTGAAAAGACAAATTTGAGTATGAACTATTTGAAACCATGTTCCCATGCTGTGGTCGCCACTTAATTCTTTCAGGGGACTTTGGGCTTTTGAGTGTGGGAGTTCAGTCAGCAGCCTGCCTTGTTTCCCGTCTTGGCTGTGACCCGTAAGCTTTCCGTACAGGAACTGGTGTGTTTCTCTCTGCTCACTGTGGCCTCGGTTTTACAACATCTTCTGAACACCGCGATCACCAGTGAGTTATCAGGGATCTGGGGTCTGGTGGGAGGAAAATTCCTCTCTCTTCACCTTAGCTCGAGATCAGGATCAGTATGAAGGAAGCGGCCCACAGGAAGCCAGCCCGAGTCTGCTCTGTGACCATTTGAAATCCTCCCTCCGGAGGAAGTAGCGGCTTCTCCAGAGCACCAAAGTCACCTCCATCATCCCTTCCTTTTAAGTGCGTATCTGCAACAGTGGTATACAGTGGTCAGGGGAGAGATTCACTGCCAGGGAGAGGGGTCCATTTCCTAACAAGTTTTTTATATTTGTAGAAATTCCCTGCAAATTCTAACACCAAATTTTCTGAGCTTTTCTGAAAATGTACTGGCTATGGCCAGGGAAGAACTTTTTAATGAGAATGGGACAAAGATAAAAACAGACGTTTATCTTGAGAGGGGGAAATGTAAAACATAGGGCTATGTACCTTGAGTGGGGGACTCTAATTCTGGTCCTGAAAACACTGTAGCAGAAGTTATTTTCTCCTATGTCTTCTTGATGCTAGAAAGGAATGTGGACAGTACTTTATTTCTGGAGCTTTCTGATCAGAGATGGAACTGAAAATCTACTAAAGGAAAGGCCTCTAATGCCTGGGAAATTATGTCTCCAAATACCCATCCCTTGTGTGAGCCAATTACATACAGTCTTTCTTGTTGGCAAGAAAGACAAAACCATCTTTGGAAATGAAGTTAGCCTATTAAGAAAAAAAAAAAAAAACTAGAGGTCAAACCAGCTAGACTTTGAGTTATTTTATATTTCAATTATATGCACAATGACTGAGTGTTTGATCACCAAAACCTCTCAAAGCAGTTCTAATATTTGGGTTTTCATGAACTAAACTGGACTGTTTTAGTTCCCAAGGAATCCCCTAAACACAAAGCGGTTCTTTGCAGATGGTAGACAGTCCTGAACACAGTCACCTCGGTTTATGCTGTGTACTTCTTTCATATGGGATTGTCTCATGTGCTGGCCAAGTGGTTAAAAGGGAAAGAAGGGTGTGAACCACACTCACACCAGAGACTCACGAAGTGCTGATCTCCATCCTGGAGACTCCACCCTGCTCATTCTTGCTCTGGCTGTGCATCGGCCTGTAGGTGGCCACCAGGGAGCATATCAACTCTAAAGTATAAGCAAAGGCCCCCTTCCCCATCTGGATCCCGTTTCCAGTCCCCTGAGTCCCACTGACCCACTCTGATATGGCAACAGGAAACACAGACGCTGTGTCTTTAGAAAAGTGGCCTTGAAGTCAAGGACAGCCTGTCTCTTGAAGGTGGCTCACTAATGATGGTCCATCTGGGAGAGTATGTATGTAGGGATAAGGACAGTATACAGCCATATCACATGATCCAGTTCTAATACTGTGTTTTTCATTACTCTGTGGCCTTGAGAAAGCTACTTACCCTCTCTGTGCATCCATTCATAATGGTAATAATGGGGACAATAAAGGTATTTGAATCATCTTTGGAAGCAAAATGAATTCATGTGTGTAAAGTTCTTAGTGCCCAACACACAATGTGGGGTCAGGCATCATATCAACGCCTCTGCACACCATGATGAAATCAAATGAAAATGTTATTAAAAGATAAGAACTGCAACAGGGGGAATGTGATTCCAAGAGTATGCTGTCATAAGAGGAGAGGGCGGGATAGAGTGTATTATTATCCTTATAAAATAGCTACCGTGGAGCTCAGAACTGACAGCCCTGCCTGGCTACAGTAGGAAATGGGATGTTAACTTAGGAGGTGAAACACCAGCTTCACGTAAGTAACGTCAGAAGACAGAAAAAGCTGGGGGGAAAGTTGAAGTTTTATTACTCCTAATTTATTTGCCTGTCCTTCCAAACTACCAGACTCCAAAAGTACACCAACTCTATGTGGCTTTCCTGAACTTCCTGAGGAGGGTTCCTTGATCTGTGTCCAGTCCACCTCTCGAAATGTGTTTGCCTTTCTAGGGCACAGCCTGCACCATCCGGTCATGATTTATGAGTTTCTTTATGGCCACCCCTAACCGGCTCTGTGCTGTGACTCTCCTTAAAGGAAGGCCATCCCTTGCCGCGTCCAGCCGGCGTCTCGCTCTGCAGAGGCTTTGATGGTTCCAGACTCGCCTTAAAACACATTCTTAGCTTCGTTTCTGGAATATCTCCTCCTGTTTCTGCAGCAACTCTCTCCACCTCCTCTGCACCTCCCCCATCGCCCAAGGGCTGAGTGGTACAGTAGTTCAGTGGTCAGTCCCTTGGTTCCCTTCTCTAGTTAGCCTCAGGACCCGGGTGTTGGAATTTAGTTTTACAGCTTACGTCGTCATTGATAGACTATCAATTTCATATTTATATCTGTCCCCGCCACCAAGCCTCAGAGCACCCGTCTATGCAACTGCCCCACTCTGTTTATAGATCTAATGGGCATCTCCAGCCAATGTTTTCTTTCTGATTTTCCCATCTGCTCTTCCACGTCCCTTCTTCTCCACAGAAGATCACCACTGATTGCTTCTGCCCAGTGGCTGAGAACAAACACCAGGGTAACTTGTGACTCCGTTCTTCCTTTGAAACCATCCTCCTCCCTCTCCATTCAAACATCAGTCACTATCCCTTGTCCCTACAAATGAGCTCAGCCTTCACAGTGCACCAGGAACCAAACCTGGCCACCTGCCACCACCCAATTGCCTTTTCTCCCATCCACACCACCATCAGCTGTCACCCACACTACCATAATGGCCTCCCAACTCCCTGCTTCAAAACCTGTCCCGCTTCGTGTCTCCACCCAGCTGGCGGGGGGACCATCCACAATCTCAGCCCCTCGGCCCCTTCCTTCCATGCCCACGCTCTTCCTTTGTACAAGTACCAAGGTCGTGTGCAAGGTGCTGTATGGCTTTGTCCCTCTTGTCTTCTAACACTGCTATAGCCAGAGCAGCCTTCTTGCTGTTTCTTCTGGAAGACTCCTTGAATACCCGGCATTCGCTCTTAACCCTGCCCTAACACCACAACCCTCGACTGACCTAGCATTGATTGGCCACAAAATTTAATCCATGTGTCTGGGCCCGTGTGCTCACAAAAACCCACACTTGCACGTGCACATGTGCAAACACACATGTACACACGTGACTCTGACCTCTTATTCTGTGATAACTTTCTTTGCCAGATTGAACACCACACGACATTGTATGTTTGCTGACTGATGTCTTAGTCACCATGACCACAGCAACTCTTATAAAGGAAAAACATTTCATTGGGGTAGCTTGCATTTTCAGAAGTTTAGGCCATTATCATCATGGTGACACCACGGCACATGGTGGCCTTCAGGCAGACATGGTGCTGAAGAGGTAACTGAGAGTTCTACATCTTGTGCAGACAACAGGAAATGGTCTCAGATACTGGGCGGTATCTTGAACATACATGGGACCTCGAAGTCCACCCCAACAGTGACACACTTCCTCCAACAAGACCACACCTACTCCACCAAGGTCACATCTCCTAATAGTGCCACTCCCTTTGGGCGCCATTTTCTTTCAAACCACCACAGCCATCCTCCGGTTCTCAAAACAGAGCCTGGCACATATTAGACTTTCAGTAGACAATCATTGAGTGAACTAAGCAGGCACCATCTTGGTCTCTCCAATATTTGAGTCATCCCTGGTCCACTAAAACTTTGGTGAACAGGGCTAAAGGCACAGTCCTGTGGTAGAAGCCTTCCCTCCCATGCACAAGCCCTAGTTTTGATCCCAAGTACTGGAAAAAATAAAACTCTCTGACAAATACATAAAGAAATTGCTGGTCCAATACACATTTAAGAATGAACATACAAAACTACTTTTAGGTATATTCTATCTTGTGGCATTTTTTTTAACATTTTAGATAATCATCTCTGCTCCAATAGCCATGATATAGTAATAATTGTCTTGACCTTGGTGGACAGTGTGACAACTACCAAATAATGTCACCCTACAGTGTGTAAATGTCACTTGATTTTCTCCATCTGAATTACACTCCAAAGCTAGGCTAACTTTGGTGTAGCCCACTCAAATAGTTGTACTTCTTATAAACAGAGCATGCTCAAAAATAACCCAAGTTTCACTGAGGGTTAGGACCGCAGAGCAGGGGCGACAGGATAAAGGTAGAAAGGGC